TTGGGAGGCCAAGGCATGTGGATTGCATGAGCCCACGGGTTCGAGACCCGCCTGGGCAACTTGGTGAGACCTCATCTCTACAATAAATCAAAAATTAGCCGGGCGTGGTAGGGCGCACCTGTAGTTCCGGCAACTTGGAAGGCTGAGGCGGAAGGATCGCCAGAGACCAGCAGGTCGAGGCTGCGGTGGCCGGAGCGGCCACTGCACTCTAGTCTGGGCGACAGAGTAAGACTCCAACTCAAAAAAAAAAATTAATTAAAAATTAAAAAAAATAAAAGCAACTAAGGAGAAAAACTGAAAACAAAGCAAAAGAGAAACAACAAGCTCAGTCCAACCTGTAACAACTAGCATTTTTACAGAGATTTAAAAAATGAGATTGCCAATATAAGGAGGAATGAATCTGTTCCATATAGTCTTAGCTGGAATGTAAATTGCAATATTTTAGAGGTCAATTTAGTAACACCAAAAATTTAAATGTGTGTGCTCTTTGACTCAATAGTAATATTTCAAAGAGTTGACATCACCAAAATGCTCAAAGGTATTTATAATTGCAATGGGAAACTGGTAGATTAGTTTACATACAGGGGATATTATCCCATCTCTTAAAGAGGTACCAAGCTAGGAAGATGTATATGGCATAAAATTAAATGTACTTGATTAAGTACTCTGCAGAAGTGTTTATGGAATGAAGGCACTTTTTTAAAAAGTGTATTTGTATTTTTTAAAAAAGCTTTACACAATGATTTAGTGGTTATATGAACTTGATAAGTGTGGGGGGATGTTAAGAAATGGCAGCAGGGTGCTGAGATAACTTTTTTTTTTTTTTTTTGAGTCAGAATCTCACTCTGTCACCCAGGCTGGAGTGCAGTGGCAGGCTGCTCACGGCCACCGCAGCCTGAACCTGATGGGCTCAGGCGATCCTTCCGACTTAGCCTTCCAAGTAGCTGGAACTACAGGCGCACGCCACCATGCCCGGCTTATTTTTTCATTTATTGTAGAGATGCGGTCTCACCAAGTCACCCAGGCTGGTCTCGAACCCCTGAGCTCAGGCAATCCTCTTGCCTCGGCCTCCCAGAGTGTGGGATTACAGGTGAGAGCCACCACGTCCGACAGTGAGATAACTTTAACTTAACTGTACGCTTCTTTACCGTCTGACACTCGTAGGAGCGTATTACTTTTTTTTTTTTTTTTTTTTTTTTTTTGAGTTGTAGTCTCACTCTGTCGCCCAGGCTGAAGGACAGTAGCACCCTCCCAGCCACCGCAGCTCGACCTGCTGGGTTCAGCCGATCTTCCGCCTCAGCCTTCTAAGTAGCTGGAACTACAGCCACGCACCGCCACGCCTGGCTAATTTTTTGATCTATTGTACAGATGAGGTCTCGCCAAGTTGCCCAGGCTGGTCTCGAACCTGCTGGCTCAGGCAATCATCTCACCTAGGCCCCCCAACGTGCTGGGATAGACGTGACACCACGCTCGGCACATCACTTCTGTAATAGCAAAAATACAGGGCATATTTAGAGCAGCTGAACTCGTCAGGCTGCAAGGAGGCCTGATTTGCATTTCACTTTCACTTTCGGGCTGGAAACGTTCTACCCCCGAAGTGGGAGGCTGAGAAGGCACCGTAAGGCTGGAGTTCAACGACCCCGGGCCTGGGCCCCACAGTTGCTGATGCCGGAACTTGCCTACCGCCCAGATTAAGGAACAAGGCAAAAAGGCGGGGAGACTTGCGTGACACCGCCCCTCCCTCACCGCGCGCCTGCCCCGCCCCTGCGCTCATATCCTCCAATGGATGCTCTGGGAGGCGAGCCTCGCGAGGAGCAGGAACATGATTGGCTGTCGGCGGGGCAGCGTGGTGACGTCGCAACCCGAGGCGCAAGGGGAAGAGCTCGCGCTTGCGGACGCGGCGGCACTAAACAGTTGCCGGCGTAGCTGACCGGTCGTGTTCTCTCCAGGTCGCAGCTCTTCCTGTTGCGTTCGCCCGCTTGATCAGAGATTCTGGAAGCCCAAACCGGCTAGACCTCTCTCCTTCGCACCCGTCCGTAGCCGCGTCGTTGCGACTCCGCCACCATGTTCGAGGCGCGCCTGGTTCAGGGCTCCATCCTGAAGAAAGTGCTGGAGGCGCTCAAGGACCTCATCAACGAGGCCTGCTGGGACATCAGCTCGAGCGGCGTGAACCTGCAGAGCATGGACTCATCCCACGTCTCCCTGGTGCAGCTCACCCTGCGCTCCGAAGGCTTCGACACGTACCGCTGCGACCGCAACCTGGCCATGGGCGTGAACCTCACCAGGTGAGCCCGCCGGCGTCTCCGGCTGTTGGCGGGAGCGCCTCGGAGCCGGCTCCCGTTGGCTGGCGCGGGCCGTCCGCGCCTTCTCATTGGCCGGCGGCGCCGGGGCGGGGCCCAGCGGAGCGCGCGGTTCGGAAAAGCCCGCGCTGGCTGCTGCGCGACCCGGCCCTTTTCGCGCCAAAGTCACAAAGCGGGTGGTGGCGGGAAAAGGACGGGCATTTCTGTAGTGCCAGGAAGACTGTTCCAGAACTCCTTGCTCATTAAGTGCTAGGGACCTTGGACGGGATGTCGTGGACGTGTTCACTTTTTTGTATGTTTTTGAGAGGTGGCCTTGCTATGTTGCCCAGGCTGGTCTCCAACTCCTGGCTCAGCGATCCTCCCGCCGCGGCCTCTCGAGTGTCTGGGACTACAGGCGCGCGCCACGACGCCTGGCTCAGTCGTAGTTGATTTTAAACGCTTTATGATATGCCCTAGTGAGAACGTGTCACCCTATTTGGGACGATAGTTTCTGGCCTTTGATTACAAAGTCATAGTGCGCATCCTAAGATCCTGGGTTTGTGGGAAAATTTTTCTAGGGCAGTGACTTTCCAGTCTCTGACGGTACCCATCTAGTGCACTTATATGCTTACATGATAAAGGCGTGTAAAACATTGTTTAAAAATAAATAAAAACTTAAAGTACTAATGTTACATGCAGTATGTTTTAATAGGCTTAGTAAGTGTTCGTCGAGGCCCTGAATTTACTTTACACCTATTAAAAGGATTTGCAATTCAGATAATGCTGCTGTCTTGTTTCTACCCAAGTGAAATTGCTGATGGTGGGGTGTTTGCTTATAAGTAATGTCAGATTGCAGTCCAGCAGTATGTTTACCCTCCTTACCAATTCTCGGCCTTTTAATTGTATCGGAAGTCTAGATCTTGAGCAGATGGTGTTGATTTTAAACCCTGTGTCTTCTGTGTTCCAGCATGTCCAAAATACTAAAATGTGCTGGCAATGAAGATATCATTACACTAAGGGCTGAAGATAATGCAGACACCTTGGCGCTTGTGTTTGAAGCACCGAGTAAGTCATACCCTTTTACTGAGTTATATCCATAGAAAATTAAAATGCAGTGTCAAGATTTCTGAAAGCTGTGATGAAAATTTTAAGACAGTGTGATAGTTGTAAACTCATGCTTTTTCAATATTTGCTTTATTTTGGTAGATCAGGAGAAAGTTTCAGACTATGAAATGAAGTTAATGGATTTGGATGTAGAACAACTTGGAATTCCAGTGAGTATCGGCTTCTGACTATAGAGGGTACTGTACACAAATCAGAATGTTTGCATAAAATACATTAATATTTAAAGCCTGGCCTACTCCCTAACAGAACTTTTTAAAGAAATATATCGAGCCGGGCTCGGTGGCTGAGCCTGTAATCCCGCGCCTTGTGAGGCTGAGGTGAGTGAATTGCCTGAGCCTGAGGGTTCGAGACCCACCTGGGCAACTTGGTGAGACTTCATCTCTACAACAAATCAAAAAAAAAAATTACCCGGGTTTGTTAGCACGTACCTGTAGTTCCACCTACTTGGAAGGCTGAGGCGGAAGGATTGCCAGAGCCCAGCAGGTCGAGGCTACGGTGGCCAGGAGCAGCCACTGCACTCTAGGCTGGGCGACAGAGTGAGTTGGAGACTCAAAAAAAAGAAAAAAGAAAGAAATATATCTACTAGTGCTTGTTTCAAAGAAGGATTTAGAGCCGGGTTCGGTGGCCCAGCCTGTAATCCCGTGCTTTGGGAGGCTGAGGTGAGTGGATTGCCTGAGCCCATGGGTTCGAGACCCGCCTGGGAAATTTGGTGAGACCTCATCTCTACAATAAATAAATGAAGCCGGGCTCGGTGGCTCAGCCTGTAATCCCGTGCCTTTGAGAGGCTGAGGTGAGTAGATTGCCTAACCTGCGGGTTTGAGACCTGCCTGGGCGGG